CTCTCCACCATCACCCCGTACTCTCCACCATCACCCCGTACTCTCCACCATCACCCCGTACTCTCCACCATCACCTCGTACTCTCCACCATCACCCCGTACTCTCCACCACCACCCCGTACTCTCCACCATCACCCCGTACTCTCCACCATCCCCCCGTACTCTCCACCACCACCCCGTACTCTCCATCATCACTCCGTACTCTCCACCATCACCCCGTACTCTCCACCATCACCCCGTACTCTCCACCATCGCCCCGTACTCTCCACCATCACCCCGTACTCTCCACCATCACCCCGTACTCTCCACCATCACCCCGTACTNAACTAGGACTGTAGGACTGTAGCTAGAACTGTAGGACTGTAGCTAGAACTGTAGGACTGTAGCTAGGACTGTAACTAGGACTGTAGGACTGTAGCTAGAACTGTAGGACTGTAGCTAGAACTGTAGGACTGTAGCTAGGACTGTATGACTGTAGCTAAGACTGTATGACTGTAGCTAGGACTGTAGGACTGTAGCAAGGACTGTAACTAGGACTGTAGGACTGTAGCTAGAACTGTAGGACAGCAGTGTAGGACTAGAATTCCGAGCGTGAGGGATAGAAGACGTCTACTGAACCTGAAACTCGTTAGAGTAGGAATTTCAAACGCGTGAATTTTTGCGCAATGCTGGAATTTCTCAAGCAATGCCCGTTGTGGCGATGACCTATGTGAACTTACAACTATTTGTAGTTTTTCTGCGCAAGTTCTAAAATACAGTATCTTGGATCTAGCGTTCTATGCTTGATCATTAACCACGTAAAAGCGGGATGCGGAGGAACCTGTTCTAATAAATGATGTTAGCAACCGCTGTCCCAACTTAATGGGCAATTGCAGGTTTTTACGACGCTTCCAAGTCCGACTGCACGCCCATTTTTTACCTCGCGGTTGGCTTCCTTAATTTCGAAACGACGTGTAGACATATACATCTTCGCTACGCTGCAATTAAGATGCCACCGCAGCATCCCGCTGGCATTCAGGGATGAGGATGCTCAGACAACGCCCCTACACGCGCGCAGACACAACACGCGCAGGAGTTCACTGCTGGCTGACTCGTGCGCACACTTCCCGTTCAGTCGTACATTTACATCGCGTATGTAAACGTCATTACGCTATGTAACGCATATGTACGTTATGTAACGCATATGTACGTTATGTAACGCAAATATGTATGTTATGTACACACATATGTACTTAGTAACGCATATGTGATGTTAATGTAACGCCATATGACGTTATGTACACATATGTACGTATGTAACTTACATGGTAAGCGTTATGTAACAGCATATGTAATGTTATGTAACGGCCATATGTACGTTATGTAACACATATGTACGTTATGTAACGCATATGTACGTTATGTAACGCATATGTACGTTATGTAACACATATGTACGTTATGTAACGCATATGTATGTTATATAACGCATATGTATGTTATGTAACGCATATGTATGTTATATAACGCATATGTATGTTATGTAACGCATATGTATGTTATGTAACGCATATGTATGTTATGTAACACATATGTACGTTATGTAACGCATATGTATGTTATGTAACGCATATGTATGTTATGTGAACGCATATGTATGTTATATAACGCATATAGTAATGTATATAAGCATATGTATGTATATGGTAAGCCATATGTATGTTAATGTAACGCATATTATGTTATTGTAATCGCCATTATGTAATGTTATTGTACGCATGATGTATGTTATGTAACGCATATGATATGTTTATATAACCATATGTGATTTATGTAACGGCAATATGTATGTTATGTAACGCATATGTATGTTATGTAAAAAAACGCATATGTCCCGTTTTTAAAATGTTAACGCATATGTACGTTATTGTAACGCATATATATGTTATGTAACACATATGTACGTTATGTAACGCATATGTATGTTATGTAACGCATATGTATGTTATGTAATCGCATATGTATGATATGAACCATATGTATGTTATGGTAAACGCATTATGTACGTTATGTAACTGCATATGTACGTTAGTGTAACCAAATATGGTACGTTATGTAACGCATATATATGTTTATGTAACGCATATGTACGTTATGTAACGCATATGTACGTCATGTAACGCATATGTACGTATGTTACGTTATGCAATTACATTGCGTAAGTAAATTACGTATGTAATGCTACGTATGTCAAATCACGTCACGGGCTATTGCCTGAGTTCTGCACTCCATGACCAGGAGTTTAATAATGACAAATTCTCAAATGAATATTGACAATATTGATAATTTTGTCATTATGAACCCTGACATCACGTATGTTACGTACGTAAATACCAAACCAAACCAAACCACGTCAGGGGCTATTGCCCGAGTTCCGAAATCCCAGCGTCTGTATATCTGTCTGCGTTGAGGGGCAAGCGAGAGGATCAAGCGAGTTTCAGCGCGTGAAAATCGGTTCTCCCTCGGCCGGTTTCTTTCAGAGCAATAAGCGTTATTTTTGCATGCAGCATATCATAGCTGATTTTTTTGTCAAGCAATTTATTTCTACGTAGAGAACATTTTTTATTGAATTTAGTAGGGATTTTCGGTAAATCTTTTAGAATTTTAGTGTCTCATATAATTAGATAATTAGATAATTAGATAATTAGGTGAATATAAATCAGCGCTTCATCCGACCTCATTAAACGCTGCTAAGGACTACACACGTGGTGGTGGTATTACATGTAGTGCGGAATCACGGTATTACGGTACATGCATGTAGTACGGTATTACGGTGTAACAATAGTGTGGGGTAATACGGTAGTACGTGTAGTACGGTACGTGCAGTACGGTATACGGTAAAGCCTTAGGCGTCATCGTGTTGGTTTGCACGCTAGCGTAGCAGCGAGTGAAACCGAGTGATGACGGCACATCTCACGCGATCACTCCGTACTCTGCACACCACCACCAAGCCCCGTGACTGCTCGCACCATCGACGGAGTCGTACTGCTCCAGCATCACCTCGTACTTCCCACCCATCAGCCGTCGTACTCTCCACCATCACCTCGTACTCTCCACCATGCACCCCGTACTCTTCGACACCATAGCCCCGTACTCTCCACCATCGCCCCGTCTCATACACTCATCACCATCGTACTCTCGCACATCGCCCCGTACTCCATACTCACATCAGCCCCCCAGTACTCTCCACCATCACCCCGTACTCTC